GGGCCGGGGGTCGGGCGGGCGAGCCCCGGGGTGGGAGGTAATGCGGAGCCCCGGGCCCGGCTCCGGACCCCGCAGCCTCCTCCGGGCTTTGCGCACTGACACTCGGGGCGGACGTTAGCTGGGCAGGAGGCTTTTCCCCGTGGCCCCCCGCGCCCCTGTGCTTGCTTTGTGCGAAGAGACCTCGAAGGAATCGCTGTAGCAGCGTGTGCAGGACAGGGCTAACGGGGCCCCGGCGTGAGCTAGGAAGAGAGGAAGGAATTGCCCCTAGACGTCCCTCCAGAGGTCCCCGGTAGGGCAAAGCGGCAGCGAGCTTTAATCTCGACCGTACGGGCGCTCCCCCCCCCGCAGCAGGCGATTTTGCTAAACCTTCTTTTACGTGAGTCCGTCTTGCGTGAGAATGTGACTTATCTTTTCTTTTCCCCGGGGCTCGAGGGGGTGGGAAGCGGATGCCCATTAGCAGAGAGAGCCGTAGCGGAGAAATAAGTCAATCTGCCGTCATGTATCAGGTTGCATTTTTTTTTCCCCCGCTTTGCTTTTCTCCCCAGGTGGTTTCAGCAAGTTCCAGGCCGAGTTCGCCCTGCACTGTGAAACTAACCTAGACAGTTCATGTAGCAGCAGCTCCCCTCCTCTGCCAGTCCTGGGCTTGGGAGGCCTCCGGATCAGCTCCGATTCCTCCTCAGACATTGAGTCTGACATTGACAGAGACCCCAATAGTGCCACCGACTCCGATGGCAGCCCTCTCTCCAACAACCAGCCTTCCTTCCCAGTGGAGATTTTACCCTACCTCTACTTAGGCTGTGCCAAGGACTCCACTAATCTGGACGTTTTAGAAGAGTTCGGCATTAAATACATCTTGAATGTTACCCCCAACCTGCCTAATCTCTTTGAAAATGCCGGCGAATTTAAGTACAAGCAGATCCCAATCTCTGACCACTGGAGCCAAAACCTGTCCCAGTTCTTTCCTGAGGCCATCTCCTTTATAGGTGAGACCCGGTTGCTTGCTAACAGCTGCATGGCAATTCGCAAATTCAATTTATTTTGCAGAATTCAAAAGATTTCGGGCGAGAAGGGGTAGCTGTCTCTGGGAGCTGCTCAGCTTTCTGATTTTGTTGAAGCTGACTTACATTGAGGGGAGGGTGCTATTTCCAGGTTTACTGATGAAACCCGGTGAATTGTGACCGACGTTTGCAGGTTACAAACGCATACCTGGTTTAGCTGGCTGTCGGGTCGCTCTGGGAATCCTCCCAGAGCCGCTTGTGTTGATGCTGGGCACTGAGCAATGCGCAGGATGGGAAATATTTTTAAACCTGTTTAAAAAAAAAAAAACAAAACCAAAAAATTAGGGGCTCATAGTTTGTGTCCTTTTTCTGTTCTTTTTTTTTTTTCCTCTCCCTGCAGGTTACTGAAGAGTAGTATAATAAAAATAAACTATGTAGGAAGCTAACTTTAGCTTTTTTAAATACAATTTATTCATAACGGTATTCCTGGCAAATGTATAATGAGAGGTTTAATTAAATCTCGAGGTAATAACGATATACCTCTCAGGCTCGGTTAGCCTGCCCCTAAATGTTACCCATCAGCTTTGAAAACGGACGGGCTCGTGGGCTGAAGGAGTTCTGGTTAAAATTTGTACTTTTCCTTCATTTCAGTGAAGACTAAAGTCACCGGATCGGGTGCGGTGGGGTGGGCATCACGTTATCTGTTGGGAAGCTGTGCTGTAATCCGGTTGAATGATACCGGTAATAGTGGAGAATGTAGGTAATCTGAGCCCAGCAGGAAGAAATGTGGGCTGGAAGCCACAAAGAAACTAATCTCCAGGCATTGTAATGCATTTCCTATTACAAAGGAACCCATTTTCAACCAATGTTGACATCCTGTTCCTCCTAATGGGCTGTCCCCTGTGACTTCCCTCATTCTTTTAAAATGCCTGAATACCTCCATTGTTAGCTGCACAACAGTTGGAGAATAATTTAATAGACCTTTGCAGTCTGCTGGTCTGTATAAAAGGCATTCAATGACATATTGCAGGATTTCCATGCTGGGGCAAGGGGCCTGTAAGAATTTAAGGCAAATTTCCAAGCCACAGAGTGCCTTTTAAAACTGGCTTTTTAAACAGTGTCATGCAGTGTATCTTGCTGCTTCTCCCTCGTTCTTAATTTTCTCAGCTTTTGGACTCTGGTACGAATGCTTAGGGGGCTAAAGTCTCCTCTTGTCCTCATTTCAAACCGGTGAAGTTAACCCTTGCGTTGCCCTGTCAGCCACTGAGATCAGAATCACCCTTTCTTCTTACTTGATACTTCTCTTGTTCGTGTTGTGAGATCAGTTACCGACCTGCTGGCTTAGGTGTCCTTCTCTGTCTCTTTGTCCCTGTACAGATGAAGCTCGGGGGAAGAACTGTGGGGTCCTGGTGCATTGCTTAGCGGGGATCAGCCGCTCGGTCACAGTGACAGTGGCCTACCTCATGCAGAAGCTCAACCTGTCCATGAACGACGCCTATGATATCGTCAAGATGAAGAAATCCAACATTTCACCCAATTTCAACTTCATGGGCCAGCTACTGGACTTCGAGCGAACTCTGGGGCTGAGCAGCCCCTGCGACAACCGAGTGCCGACCCAGCAGCTGTACTTCACCACCCCTTCCAACCAGAACGTCTTCCAGGTGGACTCCCTGCAGTCCACGTGAGCTCCCGTGGCCTCCCTCGCTCCTCACGGGATCATTCCTCAGTGGTTTCTCTTTGGCAGTGGTAAAGCAAACACAGCTTTCTCTTTTTCTGGTCTCTGGTGTCAAAAAGCAGCTGCCGATGCACGCTAGGAAAGGTTACACGGTGCGAGCTCGGCTATTGCAAAGGGAGGGAAGGTGGTGAGATCCCTGGGAAGGAAGGTAGTGAGCAGCCAGCAGGGAGGCAGCACTGGGTGCACAGTTGTTCCTGCTCCCGCAGTGGCTTGGATCTGAGGACTTCCAAAGGGGTTTGGGTAAGACTGGACAGACTGAGCACATGTTCTCTAGAGACTGGGACTATACTACTTCCTTTTTTGCTTTTGGATCTCTGGCATACGTTTTTGTCTTCAGTGAAGACTGTTTGTTTGTTTTTGTTTTGTTCTGTTTTAATTTAGAGGAGCCAAAGAAAGAGATTTCAGCTTAGTGTATTTGGAGTACTTGTTTGCCAGGAGCTCAGTAGTATTCTACTTGATCAATGTAAATATTTAATCTTAAATTGATTTGCATTTTTTTTTAATTCACATGTTTTCAAGAAGTCAATCCAAGGGACGTCTACACTTTTGTTCTCTTCATAAATTTTGCTTTTTTTTTTCATTGCAAAGAATATATTTGCAGCATGCTTAATTTTATTGTTCAACTGAAGCAAGCTTTCCATGGGAGAGAAATGGCAGTGGAGAGAAGTCTGCAAATCATGTTTTGTGAGCAAGTACAGTCTCTTCTTTCATATATTTTTCTTTTCCTTGTGGTGATTTTTTTTTTCTCACACTTTTGATGTAGTTTCACATTTTATATATATATATTTTTAAATTAAATTAATTTTGCCTTACCTTTTGTAAATAGGTCATCTGGGAGGAGGTTGGTCTTTGAATGCAAAAGATTTTTGATCACTTTTTAAAACTTTCAGATGTGCTAAACAGTGCATTACCTCTGTACAAATTCTTCAGGGAGCTTCACCTCAAATGCAATATTTTGTGTCTTTTTTTTTTCTTTTTTTGTATAAAACTGGAAGTATGTGTGAGCATTTGTACCTGTGTGTGCGCACAGTGAACCTGCACACGGTTGCCAATAAGGGAGAGTCTAATTCATGGTGTAAAAGTTTTAAGATGGAATTTATTATAAGAATGTAAAACCTTAAATTATTAATAAATAAATAACTATTTTTGGCTATTGAGAACCTGGCTGGTTTATTCCTGCTTTCTCCTCTATGTGGGTGTGGTTAATTGCGCATATACATATGGTTATGTTTAAAGGTAATGATTGCTTTCAATAGCTTTTGTACAGCCCTTAAGACAATAAAGTCTTAATCTCCCCCTTCCCCCTTTTTGATCCGCTGATGCCTAAATGAATAAACAGTGCATATATTGGATTATTGTCTTGCCTTGGTGAAGGGAGCACTTTTGAAGGCCTTTTGGTTTAATTTTAAAACAGTGCCCCATGGATTGGGGCTTACCCCATGGATGCAGCTGACCCTGGGACATAAGGATCCCTTCTAGGGCATGGAGCTGCTGTTTTCTGGCTCTGGTTAGAAGCGTTTGCGTTCTCTTTGAGACACCAGGTGATGGTGTTTTTGTGATCTCCTGCCCAGCAGGAAGTCATTTCACAGATCCATAAGCAGTTTTAGACAGTAAATGACTTTCTGTCGCTGTACAGCCATGTTGCACCTTAGCAGGTGAAGGCAAGAAGGAAACTCTCTATATGACATTAGTCACCTCACTTCCTTTTTTGGACCATTCAAGTAGTGCTGTCTATGCAGAAGGGAAAAGGGGGGATTATTGCAATTGCAACATTTCCTGCTGTAATTTATTTTCATTAACATCCTTCCTAATAAGAAGTGGCCCAAGGTAGGGTGGTGCCAAATGCTGTGTGCAGGACTCCTGGCCGTCAAGGAACATTTAATGTAATTTTAGTAACTGCAAGTGTGTGAAATGAAAAGCAAACAAAACATGGGAAAAAAGTGAGTCAGTGTCTCATGCAGTAGTGGCCTAGATTGAGTGCATAAACTGTGAAAGTAGAAGTGGGTTGCAGTTAAACTTGGCTTGTGCTAATCCAGTTTTGAACGGTTTCCGCTCTTGGCATTCCCTATACTGCTCTGTTCAAAGTGGAGATTTGCAAGCAGCTCTAGCAATTTCCTGTCCAGCTGCAGCTCAAGTGATTTTTTTTTTTTTTTAATATGGTCTGTGGATAATTTTAGCCAGTTTCCTCTTTGTGGATTATTAATCTGCTTTCGTTGTAGAACCTACATAGCTGTGTCCCTACTGTTCTGCTGAAGTCAACAGATGGCCTCCCCGCCACTTCCTCTCGCTTCGCTGTGGGTTTGTTGTCAGGCCACTTCTGAAATTAATAGTATTTTCTGGCTGACTGCCACAGGCCATTACCACAAAGGGGAAGTAACACATCTGAATAGCAGGAAGCCGAGCAGGGTCACAGTGTGAACTGAACCTGTTGAGCACAGTTGGGCCTCTCCCATTCAGCAAGTGTACAGCTCCTCTCCCCCCACCCCGTTTTAATACATATTGCATATATAAACAGCTTGCTCAGAGTGCCTCAGCTGTTTACACTAGGTAAATATTTCCGGCGCAATGAATTGCAAATGTTAATGGTGACTAGGTACCCGTTAAATGTGAGGAGGTAAATAACAGCGTGCAACAATGTAGCCTAGGGGAGGGCCTTTGCTTTTTTTTTTTTTTTTTGCAAACTACTTTGAAAAGTTAGTACTCACAAGGGCTTCCTGCTTCCTTCCTGCTTCACTGGATGACTAACACTAAATGGGTAGTTCTGCAATTCATCATTTTTCGGCAAGCAAAAAAGGCCAGTTTTGCTCTCATAGACAGCATCACTCAGCAGAGTTAGGCAGAAAACTTGTTCCAATTGTTATTTTTCCTCAAATGAGCCCCGAACCAGGCTTGTTAGTCAGAAGCCTCTGCTGAACTTGAACCAGGACTGGATGAAAACAGCTGTGGTCACAGACAAACCCAAACTAGAGCTGGAACTGAACCAAAAACTGGTTAAACCGCTATTTTTGCTGAGGATGTTTGCATATGCTGATATGCTCGCTCTTAATCACAGATGGTTTCGAGAGAAAAGAGCTGGGGGCTTCCCAACTGCAATCTCTTCCCTCTCCCCCCCCCCCAATGTAGTTCTACCCCAGCATGCTGCAGGGACCGATTTATGCCACACAAGCACTTGCCAACTTTTCTGAGTCCAGGGTCTACTGCTCCTGCAGTTCCCCCCAGCACTTGTTTCAAACTAATTCGCTTCCTCTCCCTTCTGCCTTGTTTCAGTCCTTGTTGGGATGGGGCAGAGGTCTCAGGCTTCTGGGAAGGTTGGCAGCTTTTGCGGTTCCTCAGCTGGTAAAGTAATTTGTAAAGGGAAGAATAAATCCTTTGTGTCTGTAGGGATAGGCCCTATGTATATAAGGGAAACGGGGTGGGGGGAGATCTGCTGCAGTTAAAAAAATCACAACCTGCATCATATTGCAACGTGGAAGTGTGAGACAGTGAATTACTTCAGAAGTTACTCAGCTCCTAGAAAGGAGAACTGTACCATCCAAGAATGAATCCCGCAAGGTGTGAGTACTCTCGCATAACCCATTTCTGCCTTTAGCATAAGGAGTGAAATTATGTCCCATGGTACTAATGTCCCCTTTGCTCCAGTCAGGCTAAGGTTTCCCTCAGTGCCTGGATGTGCATTAGCACTTTGCTTTCCATTTTCTGTGCAAAAGCGTAGCACAGTTCATCGCACTGCTTCCTCTTCTTGTATTTCCTCTTTCCTGTTCACATCCTTTCAAACCACTATACTGCCACCTTCAAAATGTCGTCCACCTCCTTCTGTTTTTATGTCCACCATTTTCTCTTTCCCCGTTCCCTTCTTGTCCTTTTTTAATGTTGTTTCTCCTCATCTTCTGTTCTTCCATAGACCTTTTCCTAAACCCCATGGTTCTTACTCATTTCTCTTCTCACCCTTTTCTCTTTTCCCCTCTTTGCTCCCTTCCTGTTTTGCTTGTGCTTCCAAACCCAGCCACATTTTCTCCTAGCTTTAAGCCTCTCTTCTCCTCTTGGATTTCACAGTAAAAGAACAGAATGAGTTTCATAGACTAGAGCAGTTTTACTGAGTTATAGGAAGGGTGTATGTGAGAGGAAGAAGGAAGAAAATTCCACTGCCATTTTCTTACCAGTTCCCAGGAGACAAAGTTACTCCTCTTCTCCTTGCCTGCCTCTCTGTAGGTAGGGCTCTTTATGGCTTCCTGAAGGGTCACTTATGAGAAGGACTGGCAGAGCAGCAAGGTGCTACCACAGCTTTGTGTCTCAAGCACGCTTTCCAGATACGTGATCATTTAGTCTGGTTAGCTCTGGCAAAACTTACCCCCGGCAAGTAATCACGGAGAAAAATCCTGGGTCCTTGCTCTGCATAGCACCCAGCTCTCTCCCACAGAGAAGGGGAAGGGGATCATGAAGAAGCAGCCTTTGCTCAGAGGTCCCACTGAGTCTCTTGTGCTGCAGAGCATTGACTCCCTCTTTGAGGAGCAGGGAGTGGGGAGGAAAGTGAGGAAAAGCTAAACATGTGGCCACCAAAAGAGCTGTATTAGCAAAACTGAAGCCAGGCTAAATGATCAACTACCTGGAGAGCATTTCTCCAGCTTCTTTTGCATCCTGAAAGGTTTATCCAAAAAACTGTATCTGTCAAGAAGGGTGATGACCCTTACTTTATTCAGAGCCCTAGCAAAAACAGTTGCATTTGAACATTTAAACTCGGCTACAGCTTAGGCCCTCACTCCACACCTATCAAAGTCACTGAAAGCTTTGCTCAAGTGAAAACGTAGAACAAATTGCTAAACTCACTCAGTGCCCCCCTAGGCCTGGGACATATAGCATAGATGTAGGGGTGTGTGTATGTGTTCAGCATCATGCAGTTACCCCAGAAAACACAGGTCTGGGGTCAAACTCCTTCATCACACAGCGGCACATGTGGGTAACTGCTGCAACACCAGTGAAATGCTGCATTTGGGCAAGAGGGCTGAGTTTGTGGCGACATCTTATCGCCAAAGGGAAATACAGGCTACCCACTGGTGTTTTCTGATGACATGTAGTGACACTGAGGTCTCCAGACTCTGCCTTTTCCTTCCCAACAGCCAGAAACGGAGGGTGCTCTATCATGTTTCTTCTTTCTTCATAGCTCAATTTGAGAGAAAGATGTGCTGTAACTTAGTAGATTGCGCACACAGAAAGCTAGTATGAGAGTCACCACTGCCTTTTGAGTGAAGCGCTTGTCTCTGTAAGGAAAGGAAAAAACTCTCTTAGATGCTCTCTGTTGTTTGTTATCACAGGAATCTGCAAGTGCTGAGGGAATTTTGGAGTGCTCACAGCCATAGCTTTTCCTCATAAGGCAAAGATGAAGGATGTTGACTAACCACAAACACAAGGAGATGATTATCGGATGGAAAGTGGGGTATGGAGACTGTTTAGGAAATATTTCTTAATGACAGAAGATGCATTCAGGACTATATTTGAGAGATGCAATGGAAAGTGCGCCCTGCTTCACTTCACAGCTGCAATCCCCAGGACGCAGGAAGCGCACAGAAAAGCTGGCGCTATCCCATCCTTCGGCTGTTCCAGCGCTGCAGATACCAGCGACATGAAATGATACGATGTGGGAGGTCTGTTTACTTTAATATGGAGACCGTGGCGAAGCACTTTGCTCATTTTGCCAGAGGCACAAGTGTTTTGGAAAGTCCTGCTGCTGAGGTCTTCTACCTCTCCGAATTGGCAATGTTCTCATATAACCACAGGACCTTTTTTTTTTTTTTAAAATGCATTTCTTTGTTTTTCTGTTAAAACCATGTTCTGGGGCATTATGGAAGTCTCTTTTTTTCTTTTTTCTTTTTTTTTTTTTTCCTGCTGCCCTCAACTTTGTAGGAAATAAATTCCCATCTGGAAGTGAAACCATCTGAAAAACAGATTGATGGCTGACACTTGGTTTATTCAGGGCAGAAGTTCTTTACAGATTAAAGGTGGCGTTTTTTTCCTTTAATGGAAATGTCCTTACAAAAACAGCCAGAAAGCACTAAAGCACTATTATTTACTATTTGTGAAAACACACGAGCTGTTCGGTTGATAGGTTGGACACTCAAATGATCTATATCAGCATAAGCGGGAACGACCACTGGAGACT